CAGGCATAAACAGTAAGCCCTGGAAGGACACCTACTTAAAAACTGGTATACCCCACCTACAGTTTAGAAATTATGAACAGAAAAAACTGTCCTGATTCTGGAGGTTGGACTAACCAACAGCACACACTTCAAGCCCAGAGAATGAACACCTAAGACCAGAGGAGTGTCCTAAAGCCCTAAATGGCCTCTCACTGAAGTCGTTAATGGGACCCAAGTTCTAAATGAACAGTCAGGAAAAGAGCAATGAAGGTGATCAGCCCAATTGCCCCTCAAGCATGGGGGCACTGTAAGTTCCAGAGGCTACTCTGGGATCAGGACAGCCTGGCCTGCATGGTCACAGGACCAGGCTGGAGGGCCTGGTGTTCCTGGTGCCTTCTGCCTGGGTGGGCCGGTGCTCCCTGTCCAGGCTTCTGTGCTGGCACAGGGCATAGGGCGAGGGGGACAGCCATCAGCCTGGGGCCTGTAGGAAGGCTGAATGAAGAAGACACACCTCCACTCAGGAAAACAATTCACAGAGGTCCCTAAGCAGCCCCCCCCGACTTCTAGAGGGCACAAATTAAGAAGCGGAACATCTGCAGACATGGCCACACTGGTCAAACCCTGGAACCACCTCAATCTCTGGACACCCATCTCCAGAACATCAACAGGCTGCATCCCGGGCAAAAAGTGCCCTTGCAGCAGCTCCAGCTGGCGGCCTTGGTCCTACCTCATGTGGGTCTTCAGTGCCGAGGGCTGAGAGAACTTGGCCTCGCACTCGGTGCAGCTGTAGGGCTTGTGGCCCGTGTGTGTCCGCTCATGCAGCCGCAGCGCCGTCTTGGAGCTCAGGCCCTTGCCACACTGCTGGCACTGGTGCCGCTCGCCACCACCCTCGTGTACCTGCACCACATGCCGCTTGACGTCCTTCTTCCTCTTGAACTTCTTGCCGCATAGCTCGCACGGGAAGTGACGCTCACTGCTGTGCACGTGGTGCTGGTGGCTCTTGAGGTTGCAGCGGTTGGCAAAGGTCTGGCCACAGGTGTCGCAGCGGTAAACTACCTCGGTGGCCACCCCATGGTGGTGCAGGATGTGCTTCAAGAAGCTCTTCTCATATAGAAAGGCTTTTTCGCAGATAGTGCACTTGAAGTTGCTCTTCCTCTTCTCACCCTCCTTGTCCTCATCCTCATTTTCCCCACGACCTGTGTCCTCCCTGCCACCCACTTTTGGCAGCACCTGTGCCGCCTCCACCACGGTGCCACACTCCTCGTGTTTTGTGACGGGCTCCATTTCTGCACCCACGGCGTCCGAGCTGGGGTGCTGGGGGCCGCAGTAGTTACCCTCATTGTCTTCGGCACTTCTCTGCTGCTCCCGGAGCCTTCTTGTGTATTTCTTTTTAGGGATTTCCACAAACACCTTTCTTCCAGCCAGCCTTCCACTGGCCCTTCTGATTTTTGGGTAGGGAGGCTTGACTGCATCTTTTTTCTTGTCTGGTTTCTCCTTGGACTTCCTGGGGGGCACACCTGGTGACATACCATTGCTGATTGTCTCTGCTGGGGGATCTGAGGCACCCCCAAGGCCGTTAGCAAGAGGATTGTCCACGGCAGGACTTGCCCTAGGGTCAGGGGCAATGGAGCCTGGGGAGCCACTGCTCCCTTCTGCCTCCTGAGACTCAGAGAAGTTCTGCAACTCCAGAAGTACCGACTCTAACATCTGCTTCTTCAGCTGAAAACAAGTTTCTGATAAATCCAGACATTTTAGTTTCTCAGCCATTTCCAGCATTCGCTGCACCCGATCTTCCTCTACTTGCACCTTCGCAGTGTATACAAACTCAAGAAATGAAGCAAAGTCAACAACTTGCACTTCATTTAGGTAGACGTTAGTCCTCGTACCATCCACAGTCTTTTCATTAAGAAACATTTCCTTAAAGAACTTGCTGGTGGCTGCCAGAACTGCCTTATGAGCCATGAACTCTTCGCGGACGCCCTGGTACTCCACGCTGACAGTCACATCACACAGGTGACCAAGAAGGCGCAGTTGGTGCATTTCATGCAGAAGGTTGAAAGGTGAGGACTTGGATTCCAGCAGAACTGCTCCACTTTCCATGTTTCTTCTTTCCAAAAACAGCTCTGAAAACAGAAGCAAGAATTATTCATGCATGAGCAACCACCAAAGCCAAAAGGATTAAAAATTAGGATTATTTCAGTTCTCTAGAGGATAGGAACTGATTAACAACCAAAAGCAAACTTTCCTCATATAAAGATATAAACCACACTTTTTTTTTTTTAAGTTTATTTATTTTTGAGAGAGAGCATGAGCAGGCTAAGGACATAAAGAAAGGGAGAGAGAGAATTCCAAGTGGCCTCTGCACTATCAGCACAGAGCCCAACACAGGACTCAAACTCAAGAATTGTGAGATAATGACCTAAGCCAAAATCAAGAGTTGGACACTTAACTCCCAGGTGCCCCCAAATCCCACCACTTCTTAGTGGGTTTCTAAACTGAAGTCATGATGCACCCTCATAAGATAATATTTGATGAAAGAAATAATACTAAGATTTCTCCCAGGGATAACCATAAATGGTAAAGTGAGGCCTAATGAAATATATTGTGCCAGGAACTTGCATACCTAGAACATTTTCTACGTTCCTTACAGACCCAGACCTAAAAACTGTAATAGAATTTACAGCAACAATAATGTCTAGCTCTTTGACCAGGAAACCAAATAATTAAAACAAAACATATGGCTGCCATTGAGAACAAACCTTAGAGAATCATGTCTGCCTTTGAAAACAACCAACTAAATAAATAACTACTTTCCATAAGGAAAACTTCATGGAAAAGCAGTTCATAATCCATGGCCATTTTCAGCACCCCTAAACACCTCATAATTTGAATTACCATTACTTTATGAGAATACTTTCAGGAGCTGCCCTAGTGAGCAAGTAAGTAACTTAGTTTCTCTGAGCCACAGTCTGTTCCTCTGTAGAAGATTGCCAGGCCATGCAAGGCTTCAGGGAGTACAAGCATGTCAGGTGCTTACAGTTGCACCTGAGACTTGTAAGCTACTTGTTGCTGGCTTCCCATGCACCAGGCCTGGGTGCTACTGTTATCCCCATTTCACAGAAGAGAAACAAGGTAACCGCTGAGACTGAGGTTTGAGGCTGGGCCTGGTCGGACTGACTTACACTGAAACTGCTCAGCATGCCCCTCGCTTCAGCCACGCCACCTGAAAAGAGCTGATTTTCCTCCCTAGGTCTTTCCACAGCTTTGGACGCTGCAGATTTCACCCCCACCCAGAGGTCTTCTCTCATTGGCTTCCATGGCACCCCACACCATCATGGGTCACTCCTGCCTGACTGGCAGTACTCTCTCTTCACACTCTCTGACTCTGTGGTTTCTTCTCAAAGTGCACCCCAACCTTATGCTCCCTTCCTCTTCCCAGTATGTTTTAGTTCCTAAATCTCCACCACCTGTCCAAAGCACCCGTCCTCCCTCAGTCAGACCTTAGATGTCACCTCAGACGCGGCATGTCTGAAGGGGAACTTGTCTTCACCTTCCCTGGAAAACCAGCCTCACTTCTCTCCACTTCTCCAGTCCCACCAGTGATACTGTTTCCAGTACCTGACACTACAATCGGCTCCCTACAACCACCAGCCCCTCCCCCCCAACATGAAAAAAGACTGCCCTCTGAGAGTTCAACTGTAACAAGAACATCCAGGAGGCCTGAGCAGTCACCTGAAAACACCAAGAAGCCTAGGTAAAGGGTTATGGTGTTGGGGGAGGGGCGGAACACTAGGCCAAGGACTGTCACGAATTCCAGCCCCAGCCTTGGAGAAATGGCTGCAGAGGGCGATCTCAGCATGATCCCCATACTCACCAGCAGCCCTCCACTTTCCAAACCTCTACGTAACGGACTCTCGGGCAGACTGTGAGCCTACAGGCGGCCTGACAGTAATTTGAGTCTATCAATAAAGTGATTTCTGAGCATGATTTCCCATCCTGTCTGAGCACAGGAAGGAAAGGCAGTCAGTGATCATGGCGACAGGAATCCTCTGGCCTGGGTGACAGCTGCATCTCCCACTGTAATTGGCTGGCGCCCGGCCGCACCTCCGTCCTGAGCATCGCGCTCCAGCCGGCAGCTCTCCGAGGCACCTCTGCACTAGAGAGGGTGCGGCGCTCCCGCCCGGCCGCGTCCGGGTGGACATCGCGCTCCAACGGAGCACGCCTCCGCCCCCTGGGCCCCTACGACCAGCACACTTCCGAGGGAGGGACACACGTCCCCGCTACTAGCGGACCCGGTGGTTGCTGGGTCGCGGGCATCCACGGGGCCCGCGTGACCGGGCCTGGACCTCCGGCCCCGGGCCGTCCCTGGCTCCTGCGCCCCCCAGGCCCGCCGCTCCTCCCAACGGGCACGCGCGGCCGGCCCGCTCCCCGCACGCGGACAAGTCAGGAGGCAGCGGCTGGGACTAGGAGCCCGAAGGCCTGCGGGCCGCACACTCACCTCACAGCCGGCGTCGCCGCCGCAGCCGCCGCAGCCACCGTGCGTCGGCCGGACCAGGCCCCGGGGGACCGACGGCCGGCTGGGCGGGGCGCGGCACCAGCGCGGGCGCTGCCGATTGGCCGCCGCAGGCCCCGCCCCGCCCCCGGACAGCCCCGCCCCCTCCCGCGGCTGGGGGAGGGGCTGCGCGTGCACGTCCAACTGCGGAGGCCGTTCGGGCACAGTTACGTGATTCGACGTACGCTTAGGGTCCGCGTCCCGCAGTCCGCGCAGGATTGCGTCACCCGCCGCGAGCCAGGGTCTGCGCCTGCGTAGAAGACCGCGAAGGCAGCTCTGGGCTGTTGGCGGCGCCGCGCGGCGGGGGCGGGGCTGGGCCAGCACCAGAAGGTCACGTGAGTGTGGGGGCGGGGGCGTGGTCACGTTCAGGGTCGTCTGGTCGCTAACCGCTCTGAGCCAGCAGCTACCCTTGTGCTGCGCGCAGTCCCGAGTGGGGTCAGCCGCGCGGAGTAGGGGAGGGTCTGCGACGCCGGCCTGGCACCGGGAAGGGGCGGGCGTCCCGCGTGTGTCCTGGGACTGGCGCGCGGCGGACAAAGCACTTCCACGTGCCGCTGGATGGGGTAGGCTCAGGGCGGGGTGCTGGGCGGGCATTCTTCCCTCAGGGCCCCTGCCCAGGTTTGGCCCTAGCCCACAAGCGCGGAGACCACACCACGTACCTTACTCCAGTGCGCAGTGTAATATCCCGGGAGTCTGCAGGCGCACACATGGTTTGAGTGGTCATTACGGAGCTTCCCAAGACCCTGCCGCCTTGGGTGGAAAGATTTCGTGCTCCGTCTTTGAACACTTCACCCCCAAACCTTGGTCCTGCCATGCATCCTGTACAGTCTTAATCAAAATCCTGCTTTGGAAAACTTGTCTTAAACCAAAAGTTCTCAATGCAGAATCTGACTTCCCGCTTCGAGCCACTAAAGCGTTGCGAGGTCTTGCTCCCCCTTACTGTGGCCAGCCATGCACTGGGCATCGTCTTACAGGATGTGTTGGTAATGTGTTGTACTGTAAAACAAACAGATGAAAAAAAATAAGATGCTTAATTTTTCGTTGTTGAAAATATTTACCTCTCCTTTTTCTTTCAACATTTAGTTTAGAAAAGGAATCACTATAAGTATTTTCTCTTTGAAATGTACCTAAGTCCTTTTGAAGACTTTCTAGGCCTTCCTTCAGCTTTAAGACTTAGAACCTATAAGAGTCGCTGGAGGGCCCTGGAGCCAGCTGTTTGCAGTGTAAACATCCTGAGAGATACCACCCAATCTTCCAGTTTCCTAGGACACTAACTTTAGTGAGTGCCTTGCTCCAAGTTGTACAACTAACTCCTGTCATAAAGGTATGAATAGCGTGTTTTCCCTCTGGCTAACCAAATAGCTAACCTACATGGTCGTTCCAGGCACCAGGGAGAGAGGACGAACTACATGTGATCAGTAATGCTGTCTAGTCCTTTTACTGGGGGACTAGTTATTACTGTTGAGAATACATATGAAACAGATCATGCCAGAAAATATGTATGTAACAGCTGACATGAAAGGGTGAAGTTTCTTTCTGCCTTTGTAAATTGCCTGTGATGCACATCACATTCTGGTTTAATGCTTATTTGATAATAAAAGTGTGTACTACCTCTATGGAAAAGATTTCTGGGTTGGGAGATTTTTTATTATTTTAACAGGAGCCAGCTTTCCACACATAGTAGGTACTCAGTATTTGAAGAATGAGTGAGAGGGGGCTTTGCTGAAGCACATTCTATATTTGCACTCCATGATTCCAAGAAATCGGAATGAACACAATTGTCACTTGTGACACCAGAAGGTCCAGAATAATTTTTTAATTTACGATTTTGTTTTGCATTACTAAAAGACGATTTGCTTCCTCACTTAAATCTTCAGTGCTTACTACCCACTTCTGTATCTCCTTTGGAGAAATTTTTCTTCCAATCCTTTGTCTATATTTTTTAGTTATTAGTCTTTTTACTATTGAGTTGTAAGAGTTCTTTTTATATTCTAAATAAAAGTCCCTTGTCAGAAAATATAATTTGCAGATATTTCTCCCATCCCATGGGTTGTCTTTCACTTTCTTGGTGGTATCTTTTGAAGTGCAGGACTTCTAAATTTTGATGGACTCCAATCCATTCTTTTGTTGCTTTTGGAAACTGTCGCCTAATCCAAGGTCATGATGACTTATACCTGTTTTCTTCTAAAAGTTTTGTAGTTTTAGCCCTTATATTTAAGTCTTTGATCCATTTTGAGTTAATTTTTGTCTACATTATGAGATAGCAGTCCTACTTAATTCTTTTGCATGTGATTATCCAGTTGTCCCAGCATTTGTTAGAAATACTGTTCCTTTCCCCATTAAACTGCGTGGTCTCCTTGTCAAAAATCATTTGACTGTAAATGCTACCATTTACTTCTCGACTCTGTCAGTTGATCCTTGGGACTATCATCATGTCAGTACCACACTGTCTCTGTTATTGTGTATGTTTTTCCTTTTTATGGAGAGGTTTTAAATTGTTTTGCTGATCAGTCAGTCCTGTCTTTTGGGTTTCTTCTGCTGAATGCAAGTTCAGAAAATACTTCTAAATGTAAAACAGAGAGAATAGGAAGAAAGGAGGTGCAGAGATGATGCCCTGAGCACCTACCAGTGTCCAGAACAGGCTTCAGATTTGGCTGAGATTCCTGGTGGCCAAAGAGAAAAAGACCATACAGGTTTGTCTACAAGCTTTATCTACAAAGTAAATTTAGTTTGCTCAGAGGAGGTTTTATATACATTGAAGGCAATATATATCCTAAAAAACATTCTTAAGATGAACTGACCTCTATGCTCTTCTCCATCATGATTTTCATCTTTTTCCTTTTCTTCAAATTCACATTAAATGAGTTTGCTGCCTCCTCTTTTACAGCCAGCAGATTACCTGTGAGTGGCTCCTACTGTGGATCCAGGGTCTGATGCTGCCCCTGTGTTCCTTCAGGTACATCTTTTTCTTTTTTTTTTTTTTTAAGGTTATTTATTTTTCAGAGAGAGAGAGAGGAGAAAGAGGGGACAGGGGGGAGATGAAGACACAGAATCTGAAGTGGGCTTCAGGCTCCAAGCTGTCAGCACAGAGCCCAACATGGGGCTCGAACTAATGAACCGTGAGATCATGACCTGAGCTGAAGTCGGACACTTAACCGACTGAGCCACCCAGGTAACCCCAGGTACATCTGTTTCATAGTCTCTTGCCTCTGATCAGCTGGTGAGTGGGATAACCACCCAGCACACTGGCAGAAGTTTTTGTCTGGTCTGGTTCATGTATTTTTCTGTAGAAAAACAAGGTAACTGCAGTGGATAAACACTGGGTGACTCTAAGACTAAACAAGGTAAATAAACATCAGGATGAGATATAATGCACAGCTTGTGTTCTCTAAGTGGAGATGAAAACTCAACTGAGGTAGGCTGATCATGGTTTCTAGGTAAAAAAATACTATTCATTTACCACATGATTAGGGGTAAGTATGTACATGCATGCTTGTCTAAAAGCCCCTGGACAAGAAGAGGCCCTGGGAATATCCCACATCTTCAGTGACCCCAGCACTTTATTTCACCGTATGTTGAACACGCTAAAAGAATATGGTTTAGTGGGTTAGTGGTGTCAGCTCCCCAGTAGCTAGAGTCCAAACATGGCAATTCCTTGGTGGAAAGCTGAAGATACACAGAGACTGGCAAGAAGTAGCATGTGTAATTCACTGACAGTGCGCTGGGTGCAGAGCAGTGGATCTGGGATGGGCACATAACAGCTGTTAGCGTGGCTGCACATCGGTTTCTTGATCTGTCTCCAGCAGAGTCTGTTTCTAAGCTTAATATTTGCCTTGTGTAGTTTTCTGTATCTGTTTTATTTTTCAGTAAAAGGAAAATAAAAGGAGTTGAAGAAGACATACTTATTCCTTTCTGTTAACAGAACATATGCTCAGGGGCGCCTGGGTGGTTTAGTCGGTTAAGCGTCCGACTTTCGCTTGGGTCATGATCTCGCGGTTCGTGGGTTCGAGCCCCGCGTTGGGTTCTGTGCTGACTGCCAGCTCAGAGCCTGGAGCCTGTTTCAGTCTGTGACTCCCTCTCTCTCTGACCCTCCCCTGCTCACGCTGTCTCTCTCTCTCTCCTAGAAATAAATAAAACATTAAAAAAGAAAAAAAAAGCTTTAAAAAAATTAAAAAAAAAAACAAAAAAACAGAACATATGCTCAGTGAGTGCACATGCCCCATTGATGACTGCAGACATGTGGCTTTAATGGCATTTCTCTGCTTGGCCTTTTGTTTCCCACACCATAATTATCAGGTCACTTAAGTCACCAGCGGGGTTTCTTCAGTTACATTATGGCCCCACTTTGTGCCTGCAAGCAAAGCAAAAGGAAAAGGTATGTGTCACCTTGAATTGCTGACCCTGCCAGGAGCTAAAGATCTTTCCCAGGTTAGGTTATAGAAACAAGATTTGAGGAATTCCAGTAATAGAGCCATCTATGTAATAATTTGAAAACCTTCTTGCTACAAACCCTTAGAAATGATAACTTAAATATAGTAACCATCTTCTTCAAATTCATGGCCAAGATTACAAGAAATCTGGGAACTCTCTGAGGTCCAGAAATAAAGAGGGAACTCAACATCAAGCCTGTTGGTGAGTGAACTACACTGCCTGGAAGGGGTTGTGGGTCTGGTCTTGATCATATAGATATAACTCTGGATTTCCACACATACACACACACACACACACACACACACACACGACAGTGAGACCTTGCACAAAGCTGAGATGCATAAAGAACCACATCCCCAGTGAAACAGTAGTTTAGGGGGAAAAAAAAACCTATCCATCAGCATAGAGAATCAAGTAGCTATTGAGGTTGCCCTGAGACCTGAGCTAGGGGTGTAAAAGTCTTCCCCGAAGATTTATAACTCTAGGCCTGCCTCCACACATGGAGTTTCTGTTCAGATTCTGCTGCCCCTGAGGCCTGGGAAACTCTTAGCTTGGAAATTAACATAAAGCCTGGTCTCTGGCCAGAAACGTCCCATGGACACCTGCAGAACCATATGCAAAACTGCTCCTGAGGAACAGACAAAGGAAAAAACTGAGTGAGTGGAAGCCAGCAGCATAACAAACAGCAGGTTGGACCCTTAAGAGTCTCAGTAGGACTTCCAGATTCTACAATAAATATGTTTACATTATTTAAAACAAAAGGAAGGATTTCAACATGTTAGAATAAGAATAAAGTGTAAGCCGACGCGAAAAAGGACTAAACAAAACTTCTGAAAGTTAAAATAGACTTGCTGAAATCAAAAGCTGCATTTTAGGTAAGCAGTAGGTTTCAGACAGCTGAAGAATTACTGGGTTGGAAACAGAACTGAGGATCTTACCAAGAAAACAGTAGAGATGCAGGATTGCAGGTATGAAAGAGAGCTTAAGAAAAATAGAGGAGAGAATACTAAAGTCTAATATACTCATAATAGGACTTCAAGAAGGAAAAACAAAATGAGACTGAGAGGCAATACACAAAGAGATATTGACTGATAATTTTCCAGAACTAAATATGGAAACTCTCAGGTTTGGGAAGGATGGATAAAAATAAATTCACATCTAGATACAGTGCAATCTATCTGCAGAAACTGCAGAACGACAGAACCAGAAATCTTACAAATATCAGACAGACCAGACAGAACTGATTAAAATTCTCTAACAAAAGGAAGCATGTGATCTGTGCACAAGATTTGTGTGGAGGGCCTCCAGGTCAAGGGAAGGAGACAGGCACAGCATTTCTGCTGCTGAACAAGTAGCAGCTTTCTTTATGGAGGGAATAAAGGATGAACTGCACAGAAAAACAAAATTCTCCATTCAAGAACAGATTTTTCTTGCCCTTGATTTTTCTAGCCTCTGGTCTTATCCCAGGTGTGACTGTTACTTTTTTCCAACCTCACTGGCCTAAGGGAGGCTGACAGCTGGTAAAGCAGTATTTCTGTGTGTGTCTGTGGGGGGTGTTTCTGGGAGACATTAGCATTTGATTCAGTAGACTGAGTAAAGAAGACCCACCCTCACCAATGTGGGCAGCATCATCCAATGGAACAAAAAGGCAAAAAAAGGGCAAATTCTCTCTCTTCTTGTGCCAGGATATCCCTTTTCTCCTGCCTCAGAGGTTGAAGATTGGGACTCCAGCATGTTCACCAGTAGCCTCTGACTTCAGACTGAAGGGGTACCACTGGCATGCCTGGTGTCCAGCTTGCAGCCAGTAGACTGTGGGGCTTCTTGGCCTCCAGAGCTACATGACCCAGTTCCTTCATGAATCTCCCCTAATTTATGTCTCTATCCTACTGCTGTTTCTCTGGAGAGCCTGGACTAATACACCAGGGCAAAGTCCTCCATTCCATATCCTCTAGCCACCTTGACCTTGAGCTGTCCCCCCTGCTCCGCCCCTCACTTTAACTCTGTCACTTTCTGATCCTATCTGAAAATTCTTGGCACCAGGAATACCCTCAGGACAGAAAACCTATTAAATCGTGGCCTCAGTTAATTCTTCTCCAAAGTCCTCAAACCAATACTTCTTGAAATATGTGTCAAATTTTCTCATAGGAGTTCATTATGCTGCATTGAAATTTACTTGAAAGAGGGTCCCTTTTTAACGAATCTACACCACTACAATGTAAAAATTCTGATAGAGTTTTTATTAAAATTGGATTTTATATTTTACTATTATTTTCCCGTGAATGGTGCAAAGTTCAACTTCTTAGAAATAAATACAGCATTAGATGATGATTCACTGGCCTACTGTATTGGTCAAAACAAGAATCCAGCACGCAGGGTCTAAAATCAAATTATAAATCTTAGCTCTCTGGTGACTAAGCAAGTACTTCTGCTATTTGAATGTCATCTCTTTTGCTAGTTCTTCACTAAGCAATTCTGACAGTAGGTCCAAGTGATTAGAAGTATAAACGCTGACAAAATGACAAAACCTGCCATAATTTATTGTGCACACATAATCCCCCCCCAACACACACACACACACACACACACAAGCCCCTAACTTGTGTCGCAGGTGGTTCCCCGCAGCACCCACATTCCCGGGCTTTCTCCCTCGTGCGGGTTCCCATGTGCCCGATACCTTGCACTTGGTGACAGAAGGGACAAGCCTGGAGCTTCTTTCATGTCCACAAGGGATAAGCCACTCTATCCTGCTGTCAGAGGGCACCTGGAAGGATGCTGTTCTTTGAACAGTCCGAGGTCATTGATCCCACCTGGAAGCATTCCATCATTCCGGACTGCCTGCTGTTCTCCAGGCCCCGGGGTCCAAGGAGAATGCAGCCATGTCTAAACGGGCCTCCCCAGCAAGGCCCGGCAACTTCCTTACAGTCTGTATCAGCCCACACTGGCTCCGCTCCCTTCCATCTACCCAAGGTATTTCTAGTTTCCAGGCTTACCCCACCAGGCCCTTGCACCTGGCACTCTAGCTGTCCACTTGCTGGTGAGGCTGTGTGCACACACGTGCCCGTTTTCTCCTGGCAGTAGAGGCCACAATTGGAGAGACCCTGATCTACTTTCCCCATCCCCTGATCCCCAGACGCTGACGCATCATCACTCACATAGCCAGTGCTCTGTTACGTTTCTCCACGCATTGTGTTTGCCCTCATTTCTTCACAAATACCCAGCAGACCTTGGCACTCAGGTCTCTAGGCTACCTGACTCATACAATGCAAATTTTCTGGTTCAGTTTGTGCACTGTAAACAAATTCTAGAAATGAGGCAAACTCTTCTGTGTAACTGTCATCAAAGCAGTCTCTCTCCTGATGTCTGAGACAGTCCTTGAAGCAGCTAAGATACTTTGTGGACCAGAAGGGCTTCCAGGGTCCCCAAGTGAGCTCGGTGCTGCATTGCAGACCATATGGGCCCAGCCTGTGGGGGTGTGCGAGATATTTAGAGGCTCCAGATAGCAACTTCATGCCTCAAAAGCTGTTTCTTCTCCATTTGGTCAGGGAGGGAGGAAAAAGGAGTAACTAGAACCGGATCTAATGAATATAATTTTAAGGACCATCATTTAATTTTTTTGCTCAGAGGACAGAATTACAGCATGAAAAAGACACACTTTGTGAAAACAGTGTGACGTGGTTGAGGGACACATGGGGTCAGTGAGCCTGGAAGCTGTGTGGCCTTCCTCCTACAAACACAACCTCCCCCAAGCTGGTCCCGTGTTTTAGATTAATTATAATGAAAATATGAACAAAATGTGTTTCATGCTTACAGTGGGCAAGCCACCATGCCAAGCACGTTGCTGGCACTACTCATTTCTTCTCACAAAAGTATGAAGGAGTAGTGTTTTTACCCCTTTGAACAAATGAAGGAGCAGAGAGGGTAAGGAACTTACCCAAGATCACACAGAGAGCCAACAAAGAGCCCGTATTTGAAGCCCCAAAGTGCAAGCTCTGACCAGACCATAAAGCATCCCAGGTCAGGGAAAAATCAAAAAGGGACTAGAGAGAGTGTGATTCAATAACATCCTAAAAGTCCCACATCTTTGGTTTGCATGAAACCAAAAGTGAACACTCAGAAGTGTGGTTCATGCAAGAGCTCAGGGATCTTGCCCTTCTCTGCCTGACCACATCATTGCCATCTCACATCTACACTCCTGGCCACCCAGGCCAGGGCTCAAGTCTGGAAGTGGCCACATATCTCCTCAGCACAGGCCATTTGCACATCCTGGTCTAACCTTCCCTCTTCCCCCATTTAGTTCCCACATATCGCTTCAACCTCCATTCAATTGTCTCCTCCCCAGGAAAGCTAACCCCAGTGCCCTGACTGTGACAGAGCCCCATCCCATAAGCTCACAGAGTACCAGGTACCACTCAACAATTACACAAATGACAAGCGTGATTTTACACTTACTTGGTGACTGTTGGATTAAAAATCTTTCTCCCTCCCCACCCACTAGGCTGTGAGGTTTATGAGCACAGAATGGTGAATCCCTAGCAGCTAGCTCACATAAGTCCTTCCTAAATGAAGGAATGAGTGAGTGAATAAATAAGGGAATGGCTACTCAGTCTCTTGCAGGATATGCCAGGCTTCTGGGCTGTCAGCTATCTCTGGTGTAATCAGCACCCAGGAAACTTCACATCAGGTGTCATGCAGCTTCCCAGTCTTTCCTATATTCTGCATCCTCCTCATTCTTTTGCCTGACGGCTGGTGTGTCTGGTTGGCAGACTTAACTCTCAGTGCTGTCCTGGACGGGGTGATTTGGGGATCGTCGTATGCCCTGAAGAAGTCAAATTGGAGACAACTACAAGATTTAAAATGACTATTTCCTACTTTTCCTGGCTGAATTCAGTTCAATGCACTGAACAAGAAGAAATAAACACCTATCATATGGCTTCATTTCATTTCTCCAATGGCCAAAGAAATGCATTAAGTGCACCTACTATGTGAGAGGCTTTCGAGATTCTATGGAGCCCAAATGGCAGAAGGGGTTCTCTCAACCTTCACTGAGGAGATATGGTATCAGTGCTCCTGTCACTTTGGATTCAGGTTATGATCACAGATCAGTTTCTAGGATTCTAAACCAGCTGATACCTGCAAGGTGTCTAAGTGGTGGCCACACAGTTTATCTGTTATGAGCACTTCTCTAAACATATGCACAATCTTGTCTGGATCTAATTGAAAGCTATGGATCTCCTTTCCAGAAAAAAGCAGCCATACAGGGGTGCCTGGGTAGCTCGTGGCTCAGTTGGTTAAGTGTCTCAGTCAGTTAAGCGACTTCAAGTCATGATCTCACAGCCTATCAGTTCAAGTCCCACATCAGGCTGTGCTGATAGCTTGGAGCCTGGAGCTGCTTCGGATTCTCTCTCCCTCTCTCTCTCTGCCCCTCCCTGGCTTATGTGTGTATGCATTCTCTTTCTCTCAAAAATAAACGTAAAAAAAGGCAACCATACAACCACAGGTAATTTTACACATAGTTTCAAAGTATTCACAGGCCTCCACAGGCCCATCCATTAAAGGAAAAGGATGGCCAGGGCCTCAGGCCAGATCAGCAGATATTAATTTGTGAGTTTTTTTTTAAGTGTTTAAACATTAAGAAAATTATATGTCTAGGCTGAAGTTCACTTCTCCTTAAGGTTAACCTCTGTTCACTTCCAAACATCCTTCCATCCTCCCAGCTTGCACCAATGTTCAGTCACACCAGACCTCATCTCTACTGGACTCCGGGGTGGGGACAACTGACATAATCTCTCAGAACACACTAGCTGGTGGCAAAGCTGAGCTGACAGAGGGTCACCATTTCTACACAAGGCTCCACAAAGCTAAGATGTGGTTTGTTGAAAGTTTTTGGTTTGATATACTTAATGGCTTTGACTGGAAACGGAGCTATGAAGGCTATTGGTTTCAACTGGCCTAAGCTCATGTCACACAGGCTCATGAGATTTTCCCTGTGCTTGCTAGGAATGGCACGGTGTCAGCTGCATGGTCTCAGTTTTGCCAGCAACAGTGGTGTGACTTCCAGGTCACTATAGGCATGAAGAAAAATTGGCAGCAGAAGCTCTGTCTAAGCACTAAAGGTGAAGGAGCTGGAAAAAGGTAATTTGCCTTTTAAGAAGTGTTTTTAAATTGTAGGCACTGCTCCTTAAAGAATCTGTAAGTCATTTTACTGTGGTTCTGGACTGAATCTTTTTTGTTTGTTTGTTTATTGTGATGAAATATATGTAATGTAAAATTTACCAGTTGAACCATTTTTAAGTGTACAATTCGGTGACATTAACTACCTTGGCAATATTCTACAACCATCACCATTATGCATCTCCAGAACTTTCTCATCATTCTAAATAGAAACTCTGTATCCATTAACAATAACTTCCCATTCCATCCTTCCCCCAGGCACTTGAGACCACCACTCTACTTTTTGTCTCTATGAATTTGACTCCTCTAGAGACCTCATGTACATGGAGGTATAAACACTGTGGCCTTTGGGTCTGGCTTATTTCATTTAGCATAAATTCATCCATGTCATAACGTGTCAAAACCTTATTATCTTTTAAGTATGAATAATATTCCATTGTATGAATATACCACATCTTGTTTATTCATTTATATGTTTATAGATATTTGGGTTGTTTCCATATTATTGCTATTGTGAATAATGCTGCTATAAATATTGGTGTGCAGGTATCTGAGTCCCTGCTTTTCTGTTCTTTCAGGTATATATTTAGAAGCAGAATTGCTGAATCATCTTTTGTAATTCTATGTTTCTAATTTCTCTATGCCCTCACCAATGGACTGAAGCATTTTTAAGCAAGGGATTTTTATATATATATAATCTTTTCAGTGAGGTATTCTCAATAGTTTTATCAAAGCTCTCGATACTCTTAATTGTTTAAAAAAATAGTTCTCAGTGTTCAGGATTGAGCCTAAATACAGTTGTCTCCAGGAAAAGCCTAAGTAATAATTCATGATGGGAGATGAGAAACATAGAAACAAATGGCACTTGATTTTGAAAAGAACTCAGATTCCAGTAAGTTAAAAATGCTTATCTCCTCTCATCATGCACATGACAGATAAATTTAATCCAGCCATCACATTTGGATAAATTTAATCTGGTTTTCAAATCAACTTTGCTTCAACACAGAATGTCAAAATGGACAATGCACCACTTTTATAGAAGAATTTAAAATAAAAAACCTTACTGTAACACTGCTGCAATGTTACTTTATCACTATCAAGGATCCTATATGTTTAAAACGGCCCATGAAGTATTCAGAATGTGTCAAAAGTCTAAGTAGAGACAAAACAACATATGAGGACAAGAGCAGCTAGGATCCTTGTTCTGCCCAAGTTAGTTAGCATTCATTGATTCACTATGGGAAGCACTTCTTCACCTGGGTGTCATAACAGGTTTACTGCCTGACCAATTGAGGAAATGAGACATGATTGTCATAAACTTTGTATTCAATTCCCTTTAGAAATGCTCCATAATCAGGTTCCCAGGTGGAAATTATGTCAAGCTTTTTTTTTAAATTTTTTAAAAAATTTATTTCTGAGAGAGAGAGAGCACAGGGGAGGGTCCGAGAGAGAGGAGAAACAGAATCTGAAACAGGCTCCAGGCTCTGAGCTAGCTGTCAGCACAGAGCCCGACGCGGGGCTCGAACCCACTAGCTTTGAGATCATGACCTGAGCCGAAGTTGGAGGCTTAACCAACTGAGCCACCCTGGTGCCCCTTTGTCAAGCTTTTTAAAAGAATTTTTGGAAATCATTAAGGAAAAAAATCACCAATGACCCCATACAGAATTAGCAAAGAACACAAATAGGCAATTCACACATAGGAGTACAAATGGCAGAGATTTCACTGACAAATGGAATACTATAAAAACGATGACAAACCAATGTCCAGACAAATTGACCTATAGTTAAACACAACCTCTGACCCAGCACAAGTATCCAGGGGAAATACAATCTCAGGGCTAGTAAGGGGCGGGGGTGGGGGGTGGGTGGGAAGTGGGAATTTATCTATCTACCATCTATATGTATACCCAGGGAACTGTCCTCACCCTTTAGCCATCCTGAAAAAGTAAAAAGGAATGAACAATTTTCACATAAGGGCGTTCACTGGAGTGCACTTATATTACTAAAACTTTAGAAATAACCTACTCACCTATAAGAAGATGACTGAATAATTTACAATATAGTCACACACTGGCCTATTATGTGGTCATTATAGGAACGTCTACAATTATTTACTGGAACTAGTAATAATCATTTTACAATGTATACATTTATAAAATCACACTGTACACTTTAAATACAGTTTTGTCATTTATTTTCAATAAAGCCTAAAAACCTTTAGTGGCTTGGGGAACTGCTCCCTGTGTCATAACGAGTAAAGAAGATTACACTATTCTCATAAGAAATGATCTGATTTTAAAACAAATCCATAGGGGCTCCTGGGTGGCTCAGTGGGTTAAGCGACCCACTCTTGATTTTGGCTCAGGTCATGATCTCACAATTGGTGAGGTCAAGCTCCATGTGGGGTGTTGCTAACAGTGCAAAGCCTGCTTGGGATTCTCTGCATCCCTCTCTCTCTCTGCCCTTGCCCTGCTCCTGCTAGCTCTCCCTAAATATAAAAAATGAACATAAAAAAGCACAAATCTATAAAACTACACTATAAAGAACTATAAAAGATTTCACCCTCAGCTCTACACCGTAGTGGGAGGAGCTGAGACGCGCCCATGACTTCCCCGTCCCGCCCACCTGACGCAAGCCCCGCCTACCGCCACCGGCCAGCCATTCGACATGCGCCACCTGGGTCCGCCCAGCAGGCCGGGCCACGCCCCTCAATGGGCTCTCGAGGAGCGCCAGGGCGGGGCAGGGCGGCCGGGCGACTCAAATCCGCAGTACTCACCACCCATTGGCTGTTGGGATGCCGACCCCGCCCCGCCGGGACCAGGAGCTCTCCTTTTCAGGGCTCCTCCCAAGGCTTGAAGCCAAGCTGGGGCGCCGGGTCACGTGGGACGCGCCGTTGTGGGTCTCTGCTGTCAGGCAGTCTTACAACTCTCTGGGTGGTCGTAAGATGATGGCGTTAGCGACCATCCGTGAGACCCAGGAAGTCCCGCTAAAGCGCGGGCGGAGTTCGTTTAGGTGTGCGGACATTCGCTGCTGGGCGAGGCCTGGGCTTGTGGTCCCCACCTCTCTCACACCTGCCCTCAGTCGCCCGATATTCCGTCTCGGTTGCGCAGTACTACGGTCAGTCAGCTGAGGGGAAAAGTCCCGTGCGTCGCCTGGACACTGGAATTGTGGGCGACCTCGGCGCACCTGCGAGGGGAGAGCAGGCGGGTCAGGAGCAGAGGCCCTGCGGCCTGGAGTCGGGCGGGGTCTGGACACTCGTGGAGGGCCGACGGCGCCGCTTAGTGGGTGATTTTCTTAATGGTTGGGTGCCCAGGCTCCAAAATGCTACAAAACAGTAAGTTATGTTCCAGGAGAGCAAATTAAACATATTAACACAGTTTGGGGGTCAATCAAGAGTTTAACACTCGCCTTAAATTTGGGCAGATTTTTAGAACTTCAAATTATTTCTCACAAGATTAATTGGTGATTTGTAAATGTGGATTTTTTGGCGAGATTCCAGTGTATTTCAGTGAAACATCTACCTGGAGACTTCATTGCTCCAGGTGAGGCTCAGGTTGGCTGTTCTGTGGGAAGAAGTGAAGCCTTTCCTCGTAGATGCTTGCAACGTGAATGCCCTTTACTTCTGCCTTGGAAAACGTATTCCTAATTCTTAAATTTTAACTGAAAAAGCAACACACACACACACACACACACACACACACACACACACACACACACTATAAACAATGGAGAGTTAGAGAACATACAACAGCAAATGCCTTGTCCCCACATTAAAACCCAGAATCCAAGCCCTAAGGACAGGTATCGTGAAGTTTTTGCCAATCCTTTCAGAAAGTCCATGTATACAGAGCAAGCCTATATGGAATCCCATTTTTTAAAAAACATGAACCAATTTTCTCAATGAGGTTGGAAGTAATGCAAAACATCATGAACACTTGGGATGTTGATTGCACTGATTGTGATAACTATTGTTAATGTTCTACAAAGAGTTTGAACTTTTCTGACTATCATAAATCTCAAAGATTATTTCATGTCATTCATGTCATGTACAGGTCTGTCTCTTGTTTTCAAGGCTGCACAATAATCCATTCTATGGGAATATTATAATTTTCTTAATCTCTTAGTGTTGGGACATTTGAGATGGTTACTGTTAACACAAAGACTGCCATGATGAATTATCTTATATGAAGATGTGTGTGTTTATATGGCCAACTGGATCTGCAAAATATGCGTACAGTTGACCCTTGAACAACAGAGGGGTTAGGGGCACTGACCCCTGTGCAGTCAAAACTACACATACAACCTTTGACTCCCCCAAAATCTAACTAATAGTCTACCGTTAACCAGATAATATAAACAGTCAATTAATACATATTTTTATATATATTATATACCATATTCTTACAAAAAAATAAGCTAGAGAAAGGAAAAACATTAAGGAAATCATCAGAAAGGATGCATTTACTGTAATGTAAAAAATTCACATACAAGTGGACCCATGTAGTTCAAACTCATGTTGTTCAAGGGTCACCTGTACATAGAAATGGAAATACAAAGATAAGAGAGGTGGATTTTAAATGTCAATTGACCTCAGATGAGCCTGGATCAATCAACACCCCAAACATCTGAGCAGGAATGATCTTTTCCCAGAACTCCGGCCAACATGAAGTATAACAAAATGTTTTGATCCATTATCACTATGATGAATGAAAAGTAGTAGTCATTCATGCTGATTGGACAACTTTATTGAAAGTTGTTGAAAGGCCCATCAAGCTGTTTTGCGTGTTAAAAAAGATTAATTAAGGGGCACCTGGGTGGCTCAGTTGGTTAAGCATCCATCTTCGGCTCAGGTCATGATCTCAAGGTCTGTGGGTTCAAGCCCCACATCAGGCTCTTTGCTGTCAGCTCAGAGCCTGGAGCAGTCTCCCTCTCCCTCTCTGTTCTGCTTGTGCTCTTTCTCTCTTCTCAAAAATAAACAAAGATTAAAAAAAAATTTTTTTTAAAAGATTGACTCCCAAAAGACCTGGAAGCGGTGCACATGGGTTTTGTGGTTGAATTAGTTCCAAAGCGCATCAAAGCCACCATGTACCCAATTTCCTTTTTCCCTCTCTTCAGTTGTTTGCTGGGCCCAGATCCTTGAACCTGTTACTTCTGGCAATGGAAGCAGAATTATTCTGACTGCCTGAGACCAATTAGGAAGTAAACCCAGAGATGAGCAGAGGTCCAATCCCTTGAAAATCTATTACAAAGGGGATTCCAGGGACATGGACACATCCAATACAGTCCTCTGCAACATGCATTTTAAAAATGAGAGTGGAGTGAGTGCTTTGTCTGATCTTAATAGGCCATCTATATTTCTATGATATG